CAAACAGCTGCCCAAACAGAAGACCACCAATTTTTTTAGCATTGCGAAACAATGTATTTTCCCCAAACATCATTCTCAGAAACAGCTGGACATTTTTGGTTGAAACTTTTCCAAAATGATCACCTTGAGGCACATATTGGATATGATAAAATTTAGCCCCAAAAGTTAAAGTTTGGCAAATGTATTAACAAGCTAAAACAGCATCTTGTAAGGGGCCTTCATAGACAGTGCTACAGTCCTGCCTCTATTATTGTTAATCAGTGTTCCATGCTTGTTTCCATCATTCCTATTGCTATCCAGAATCACATCATCCAAATCATTAGCAAACAGTCAGATTTAAATCAAGCAGGCAAATTTTGGGCCTCTTCACTGGCTTAGCAGCATCACAGCATTTCTAAAAGTGTCCACAATTTATCCAGCTATTTCAATGTATTTCTGCTTTATTTAGTATGTTTTAAACCACACACATAAAACTGCATAACTGTGAGAAGTTAAAAAAATGGTTTGGGTACCCTTGTATGACAGGGACTAGTGCTTTAAAAATGTCTTTAAAGAAGAGAAATGTTTATGTTCTAATTTCCCACAAATGTAGGTTTCTGACCATCCAACTCAAAACACTGTTACAGATCCACACATTCACCCCCTGTTGTTTCCCTCTAGAGAAGCTACATTTTACACATTTGCTGTGCCCTGAACACTAAGAAAAAAAGGTAAGGAATTCCTAGGAACCAGAATAGCAAATTTTTTGGATTATTTTTAAGAAAAAACAATAGCAGCTATGGACAAAAGTGAGAACACAAGACTAGTAACTCCGCTATGGACTCAGTTGTGATCAGACTGTGATTGTATCTAAAGTTACAAATCTACCTAATACCATTTATCCTGATGGATTATTCAAAATCAAAGAGTACTAGGTACAAGTATGAGTACAACTCAGAGATTGGCCCAACTAGTTCAGAAAACTTAAAGTGCATTATTTCTCTCAATGGAAAGGCTATTATTTTATTATCTTTTTATCACTGGGCTGAGTCAGTTATTTCAAACCACACAACTAGAAAGTGTATTTGGAGAAGCTTTGTAAAGGCCTCTTCATCACTGTCCCTCAAATTATCTCTTTGGCCTTGTCAGAACATTTTGTACCATTGCTTCTGCTCCAGGGAACAGCGTGAAATGTTGGAGGCCTAGTGTAGGCACAGCTCTGTGACTTCCTGCATTATTTGCAGTCATAGTTGTTCACTGTAGATTAAGTGAAAAGCTCATATTTTGTCCTGGTGCCTTAAGAGGCTCCATCACATGGTGCTTTAGAAGCCTAAGACAGTAAGGAAGTCAGATAACCTTCGTCAAGGCTGAAGAACAACAACAAAAGCCTTAACTTTGAAGAATACACAACATGAAAGCAAAAAGTCCCCATTAAGTGACTGTTTCTTTAAAGTTATTTCTAAATATTTTGGGATTTTTGCACCACCATAACCTTCCCCAATAATATCTGGCTGATTCATGTAAGTTAATACAGTACTGACATCAATAGGACTTCAGCCTGCTTACTGACTGCCCAGCGTCAGAATATTGTAAAGCTAGCAGTGAGCTAGTTAGCAGCTGGGCACTGGTATTTTCTGTGTTGCAGCAAGAAAACACACCCAGGGAAGAGTATAACTTGGAGCATGGGAGAACGAAGCAGGTGTTTATTAAATATGGTTCAGTGTTATCGGGAGTTTTGTTATCTAAGCATCACTGCACTCTGGGTTGTTTTACTGTGTAGGCATGTGACCCATTGGGGCTTTCTTTCATCAAGGAAAACTGCAGTGCAATATTCTGGTTCTTATTGTGCAATACAGTGAGTTGGGGAAATCAGAAATTAGCACCAATTGTTTCCTTGAATGAAAAGCACCGAGTTACTTAAGAAACAAAAAGTTCAGTGTGCAATGCTCACTCCATAGCATACCTCCCACTTTGTAATTACACCCTAAAGAATAAACTTCACTCTTGACGAAAAAGTCATTCCATGATACTGCATCATACTAATGAAGTAGAAACAAACTGGAAAGACAAAATTAAACTCTTCTTATCCTCGTTCATTCTTCTCCTGATGCATGTTACATTAGCAATGTATGCCATACCCACTGTCTTTTCTTAATAGCAAGAAAGTACCACCAAATCAGGTGCTGTTCAGGGTTTAATCTGTATCCATTAATACAATAGTGCACCGAGATCAAACCACAAATACAGACCCTGAAATAGCACGCCAAAATAATGAATATTAATGTAATACCAAAATTCCAGGGAGCAGATGTTCCTTTGTACATGTGACAGCACTAAGCTGAACATATACTGTTATAGATTTATTATTAATAATAAATAATGAAATAATAATAATTGATATTAAATAATTTATACTAGTAAAGGATAGGTCTCAATGCTAATCCACAAATGAGTCTCCCTTGGTCTTAAATATCTGTTTTTTTTCAGCCTGCAAATAATCTGTGTGCATCATTACAATCATGCCCTCAATCAGTTCGGTTTACATTCTGGCTAAGGTTATTTTGTTTTCACAGTATGCTCTGCCCTGAGCCACTTCTTAGTTTGCTTCACCCTCTCACGCTTTGCCGACACTTTGCCCCGAGGTTGCTTGCTCAGAGAATGTTCTGTTCTGCTTCTACTCGCTCTACCCTAAGGTCACTCTGTTCGCACTTGTCTTGCTCCATTACATTTGCTCTGTTCGTTTGCTGCTCTGCAGTCCCAGTGCTCAGGTTTTAAATTCTGCTCTGAAACCACACTGCTTGTAGGTGGTTTTGCTCTTCTACTGTCAGTCCTACAGCACTGTTTCTCAGTTCCACTCATAATGCCATTCGGATTTCCGTTGCCCCTTCTTTCCTGCTTCCCCAACCCAACAATCAGTTGGTGCCTTTAAGCTGCTTTAAAATTATTTTGCTCAAATTCATTCTCTAGCCCACATTAAAACAAAGACTGCATGAGCATTGCTTTTTTATTTTACTTTGGGAATCCCTTTTTCTTGCCATGATTTCTTTACCCCATCGGGGTAAGATTAGTGTTTTATCAAAAGGCTCAGATTTCACTGCAGATAATTTAATCCAATTAACACTGAGGAAAAAAGCCTGAATGCCAAACCATTTTCAGCAAACATGCACTAATACACTTTGAACTGGTAAATGCATTTTACATTAAAACACTGCCTCAAAGCATAATTCCTGATAAATTACAAGCACAAATGAAGCAACTTTCTGACATTTTCATGGTCACATCATAAAATCTGTGACGGTTAATCAACCGCTTGCTTTTATCCACCTAACCAATGCACCAGTTTAGAAGATTAGGCAGTATCACAAGATGTGAAATAACCAAATGTTACTGTAATTACAGCTGCTCTAAAATTTGGAGAAAAATTCTGGAACTTATGTAATGGTGTGAGCCTGATATAACATTGTGTGCCCTGCGTCCATCTCAACCACCAACCTCAAACATGTTCAGCTTATGCTGTGGCACATTAAAAATATAGTGGCTATTTGCAAAATTCATATTTAGACCTGAGTTCCTGTTTCAAACTCAATGTTTAGGTCAGTGTTTGGCTAGAAAGATTTGGGTTTGGGCCCCTCGCTATTAAAAACACACTGGACAAGATTTTCTGTACAACTGGGGATGTGAGTACCCAACATAAAACATTCTGAAGTGCCAAAATTTGCAGAGGGCAGACACTCAGCCCTTTCTGAAAAACCAGGTTTTTATAAAATTGTCTCTCATTGGATATTCAATAGTGGGGGCACCCCAAAATCACTTTAACCATTGTTTTTTCCCCCAAAATAAAGGATCTATTTGAGGCATATGGAGCATAAACATTACAACTGATTAATGCTTTTCAAAGATGTGGAATTTATTTTCTTCTTTTGCTTTGCTTTAAAAATGGCCCCATATCTCCATCACAGTGTACAGCTGAGATTTGCTATGACCCCTGAAGTCTAATAACTTACAATTAAGGCAGGCCTCTCTGTACAGCACAGTGAACAAAGCACACACAAAAACTGAAGCACATACAGGTTAAATGACTTGGTCCAATGTCACATAGGGCCAGATGGAGCCTTTAAGCTCAGCTCTGAGCAGGTTTTGTAGCTGTGCGATGCCAAGAGGAACATGGAGAGTTGCAACTTCTCCTTTACCTCCCTTCTTGAGTGTAACTCTTCCTCCAGTGAAAGCAATGTGCTTCTTTCACCATGGCGTGCTACCCAACCACTTTTCTTTCCTACTGTCTGTGCCTGAGCTTGCAATCCAAGGCAATCCTCCATGAAGACCCAACAGCTGTTGGGATTACATCTCTTTATTCCACTACATGACTACCCAGGACACAAATAAGGCTAGTGTTACAAAAGAAGTCCCTTATTAGAAATGCATCTTTATATTGGCTGGAGTGTGCTCATTCACATGGTGCACCTTCATGCCTCAAAGGTGGGGTGACTGTGTGTGTGTTTTATTAAAATAGGTACCCCATAGGCAAAGAATGAGTCTTGGGATCACAGTGGACACCAAGTGCCTCATAATGGTGATGTACTTGATTGCTGGATTTATTCCATCCCAATGAACAGCCTTCTAGAAAAAAAAGGGGTCATGTCTTCATAAACTGGCATCACTCTACTGACTTCAGTGAAACTAAGCTGATTTGATCCAGCTAAGGATCTGGCCCCTCAAACCTTACCAAAGAGATATATCCCACTCCACTTCCTCCAAGTATCAGACAGTATCCACAAAGGAGAATACAAATGGCTCACATTGGGGGAGGATGGACAGGACCTTAGCCATACCTGAATATGGCATATCCCTCACTCATCTGAGAAAGGCCCATCAACAAAAAAAATCCCACTACATAGTTGTCATCATTTTGTAGGGCCTAGTCCATCTCCATAAAAGCTAAAAGAAAGCTAATTTCTCATTGACATTAATGAGCGTAAGGCTTAGCTACCTAAAGATCTATCGTGCATCTTGAACCGCCCTACCTGGAACAAATGGTGCCTGGTGCTGAAAAGGTGTGTCTTTCCGCCTTGGTTTCATTAGCTGATCATCTGCCTCAGTTATTCTCTGCTCCTGGGTAGTGCCTGAGGAGTGGTGGTTATCATTACATTTAATAGACTCTGCCTGTTCTCTGCCTGCAGATGTAACAAATTTTAAAACATAGTAATAAAACCAAAACCTACACAAGCCTGTTATGAAAGAAATTGATTTCTGCTCTGTTACGTGTATATGCACAATATAAGTGACAAACCTTCAGGACTTGACAAAATGTCTGATGGTGTTTGCTGCACTCCCTGAGACCTTTTATAGGCCTGATTTCAGAAGGTCACCGTGCTGCATTTTCTGAAAATTCAGGCCCCTGTGCAGGGTTTGAGGTAGAACATTCAAAAATGGAGAGTCCCAAAATCACTCGTGCCTATCAAAAATGTTTACATCTCTACACAAATACCTGTTTTGACTTACAAGGATATTTTAAACAAAACTATATGGGCAAATGGAAAATACCCAAAATAGCGGTTTTTGAAGTCTGCAGAACCTGACTTAGGGTTTGATCTACTAAAAGCCCCACACACCCACAACACCCTCCTGCTTCAGTGAGGAAACTGCACTGGGACTTGTAATATCAGACCACTATGTCCCTTATGAGTATTTAACTGTTTTCTGTTCATGAGATGACACTTTAAGTAGCGTTTCAGGCTGGCAACATGCACTCACAGAGTTCAGCTTTCACACACAAGCATATAGTAACCCAGTAGCAAACACAGTCTCTTAGGCCTCTGTGTGGTATGGGGTTCAGATGAGGGCTGAGAAAGAACAATGCTGAGGGCTGCTACGAATGGTGCTCTTAAAGCTGTGAACCAGCAAGGTGAGAGGAGCAGGTACTGTAGACTGGGGGGCCTGCAGGAATTGTACCCCACCTATGGCAACAGACACTGGGCCTCCCACTAACAGAGATAATGTTTTCTTACAATCATTAAGTCTATTTCTTGGATATGGCCAGGTCTAAGCCTCTCACAGCTGCCCTTGCTTTCACGCTCTACTACGTGCATCTTTTGAGCACACAAATGAGCCTTGACCCTGGACCGGCAGGGGGAGTGACTAAAACTCCTAACAATGGTGACTAGGCACAGCAGCTCTGTCCCTGGACTGTGCTCAAGCATCTTTGCCCTTAGGCCCACTGCACAGCCTGCTGTGCATTTCCATCCATCAGACCCGGTTGTACAAGGTGTAAAACATCTTCCTCTATTGAAGTTGATGGTGCTCAGCGTCTTACAGGTGCTATGCGTGCAGCAACATCCTCCCTCTTCACACCTTTCATCGGCTCAGCAGCCTGTTGGCTCCAGCGCTTGCTTAACTGGCTTCTATTCTCCCTGCCCCAGTAAAAATTCAGGACATGATAGCGTATGGATTACTGCCTTTGGATAGTTGGTGATAAAGTTCATATCCACTACTCCTGTAAAGGTCAGAAAGCACATAGGGACAGATGCTCAGCAGGAGTACATTTGGCATAGCTCCATTGAACTCAGTTTCAATGAAATCAATGGACTTGCAACAGTGACACTAGCCAAAATGCTGGCCCCTAAAGTTAATGCTACTGTCCCAACAATTGGCACTGTTTATTTTAAACTAAGTGAGTAGAAGTATTTTCAGCATGAAGAATCAAAATATACATGTGCAAAAAGATTTCCCAATCTGACATTCAAATAAAAACATGAAGCCATTTTAATTCCACATACAAATTCAGACTATCTCCATATACTTTTCTACACTTCCAAATATTTTACATACATAACATCAGGTTATTTTATACTGCATGTTGGATGGGTTCTATAGAATAAATGCAACATGTGATATGTCTTAGTGTACTTAACCAAATATATTAAGCACATTTTTTTCATATGACAAAGATTAAAGAAGCACAATTCTCATTTCATTATGGCTCATGGAAAACATTTAGCTAATTTCCCACACACCCCAGTGGAAAAATATACCCTAAACCCTTTAACCTTATTAATCAAAAGTCCCCTAACTAAACATTTTCATGTTTTATCCCAACTATATTAAGTACATAAATAGTTTAAGACGTGCTGAAGAAAGAGACCCTGACTGCTGTAAAGCAGTTAATCAGGCAGTAAGAAGGGAAGTTATAGGGTTTCCCAAGAATCTATTTTGGGATTTCTTGATTTCTGTTTACAGAAGTGACCTGCCATCTGTATCGAGGGATTGTTTATTCAGTTTAGGTTCAAATCACCAGATTCAGGGAAACAGCTATTGCAGTCTGCGCTCAGCTGAGGGTAGCAGAGTCAACAGTGTTGAGTGCTAAGTTATAACTGGGTAACTCTGCAAGTGTGTCGGGAGGGCACTAAAGGAACTTTCTCCTGTGCCCTCCCCTGAGTACAAGTCCAACTTAAGGCTAGTGCCACTACCAGCATTTTATTCCCCCATGGGTTGCTTGCTTATGCCCCTATACACATTCTGTGCCAGTGGGAGGCTAGCCCTCCCCAGGTTTCCCTGGTGGCCACTCTGGCCAACACCAGGGAAACTCTATGCCCCCCTCCCGGCCCCCGACCCCTTAAAGGGGCACGGGCTAGCTACGGTGCCCGTGCCAGGTGCAAGCCTGCCAGCACCCAGCCAGCAGACCCTGCACC